CATGTTATGATAAAGTTTTAATTGAGCACAAAACTTTTGTGCGACTCTAATTTAATTGGAACAAATCATCAGGCATGATGAGACCACCAGGAGCGGGCAAAAAGTCCTGGCTGGGCGGGAAAGAACCTCATTACGTAATAGCCGGCGCATCCGAGGACCCACCGAGTTGTTCTGTGACGTACGAGATTACTGGTGTCGCCGATGTGACACCCGCTAATAGCGACGAGAAGTTTTTTGCGGTTCTGAAGCTCGGCGATGGACCTAAGAAAATTTTCCCCAGCGGCAGAGAACACTTGTCTAGGAACTGGCAGGAGTGGCTGTCCAACGTCGACGAGGAGTTCAGGAGGTTGCGGAAGGAAGCTGATCAGCTCATCAAGAGCGTGCGAGCCACCACGAGGCTCGTGTTTCCAGAGCCCATTTGCGATAGTTGCTGTTCGTGTCGGCAGACCGCGAAGACTCGCGAGAAGCTACGACAAACGAAGACGCCGTATCTGCTGATCGATAACATGCTGAAGAACAAAGAGGAGATCGAGTGAGCAATAATTCTTGTTTCGAATATATCTGAAGTTTTATGTTAAATTTTCTATAAAGCCCGGACTTGTTATAGATGAAAGTCAAAGTTGATAACAATAAGAATGCTCTGGAAATTTAACGATCTAAAGATGTCGAAGGGTATTTTTCGTGGCAGGTATATTGTAGGTTCGATGGTATTGCACTCTCCAGCACCGAGTCCAACAGGCTCGGAGGTCAACCTGTTGGAGATGGTCGCCTCGCAGGATGAAATCAGAACGAACATCATCATCAACGGCGTCACCAACGAGAACGGCAAGACTCAGTATTATATATCAGGTGCTCAGAAGGAGAAGGTACATGTACCATCGCAAATACCTGATCTTCCAGCACTTCAGACCACCGGTCTTCAACCCAGGAATGTGCCACCCTGTGCGTGCGCTATTCGGCAAATGTTCAACAAGGATGTGAGCTCTTCTGTGAGCAAAGACGACATCCCTTGGACGAAGGGTGAAGGATTATGTATGGGGAAGAAGTACAGACCTGACGAACCAGGCGCATACTCCTGCAAGATGTATCCTGGCGACAAATCTTGCAGGCATAATCCTTTCAAGCGGATGATGAAGATAAAAGAGCAAGAGGAAGGAGAAGAAGGAAAGGAAAGGACAGAACCCATCGAAGTGAAGGGACCGATTCAAGTTTCAGAGGAGAAGACTCTGAAGAAGAAAGGTAGATTCATTCCTGATTCGGATTACCCTGCTTACAGCGATCCTTGGGACATAGCACGCACTGCACCATCAGCAAAAGAATTCATAACGGACTATGAGAAGAGCCTGAAGTTGACCTCCCCTTCGTTACCTGCGGTATCCTCATTATCAAAGATGCAGAGAAGGCAAAACGACTCCTCTTCTTCGAGCAAAATATTGAAGAAGTCTGACAAAGACACTGCGGTCAAAGAAATCGATCGAAAAGTTCCTTCTAAAGTATCTTCGAGGTCATCGGCAAAGAGAACTCAAGGAAAAAGAAACAAAGAGAAAAAATATGCGGGGAACATGAACGAGAGGAAGAAAAATGTTCAGATGTCTTCTAAAATAATTACATCGGATACGAAAGATGCAAAACTGTCAAACCAAATTTCCAAGTTCCGAGCGATGGATAAAATGAAGAAGCAACGACGGATTTTATTCCTAACTGACAAATCAGTCAGACAACAGCAATCCGACGAGGCTGACAAAATGCGTAAAAATGCCTTTGTAAAGAAAGATAGGAAAAAAGTTGTAATGAATAGAGCTGACCAAGTCGACGGTCGAAAACAAGAGATGGAGAGATTAAAGACTATGATGAAGACTTACACGGGACTCTTAGGGGATGTCCAGCCAGCGGTGCTCCCGTGGGAACAGCCTTCACCAGTTGAACTGGAAAAAAAATTCGACGATATTTTGATCGATGAAGAGGAGAGCCGTAGAATTTCCAAGGAACCTTGTGGCTGGAGAACGAAGTCGGAACAGGAGTTGCCAGCAAAAAAGACTCTGGTCTATCTCTGTGAACCGGATTATCCTCTGGAGACGGTGGCGGTTCGTCCCGGAGGACGACCATGTCGATGCAGAGAGAACAGGAGCAAGAAGAAAATGCTTATGTACAACGTAAGTGGCTTGATGGATGAGAAGAAGGATGGGAAGAGAACTAGCAAGGCAAACGGAAGGACAAAGTTGAAGGATGAGAACAGGATCATCGACGGTGTCACTTATTTCACGCCGCCCGTCAGTCCTCGAAGAAGCGACGAATACATTCCAGAATACGATCTAGTGGAATCACCGTACGATACATGCGTCGGCGGAGCTATAGATGAAAGTCCGAAACTGTTTCTTGAAGTTGACAAATATTCTGAACCGAAGAATCTAGTAGAGAAGATACAGAAGAAGTCTGAGCCTTGCGGCTGTATTAATCGCACGGACAGAACCGGCATTGTGAAAGGAGATGTGAGTCAGAAGATAAAAATTGAGGAAGCTCGGCAGAAGCTGATGGAATCCAAATCACTAGAGGAAAGATGGAGTATGGCGTTGAAGGATGCGGCACTGATGGAACATTTCACTCAGCCCAAGTATGATGTTTCCTATCGGACGTCCGGCAAGAAGAACAAACGTAGTATCAGGTTAGTGAAAAGTGAAAGATTTATTTAGTGCAATTGCGACCCTGAAATGTTATAGCAAATTCATCGATTGAACTTCGTTCAATGATTTCAACGTATCGAAGAATCCTTTTCCCAAATGCGATTGACAATATTTTTAAGGAATCGATTAATGTCGGTTGTTACAGACCTCTCAGATTGAAGATGGTAAAGCCCGTGTGCGAGTGCAAGTACGAGAGAAAGATCGTGGAGCGGAACGAAGAGAGGGCGAAGTGGAAAGTGCGCCAACAGAAGCTGAAGGCTCTGAAGAAGCAACCGTTTATGCACATAGTCGACACTTCGAGACCGATGGTGCCGGACACGAAATTTATCATATCGGACGTGAAGAGAATCCCGCTAAAGGACGAATACGCGGATGAAGTCAAGTATTGTATCACGGGTGTGGCGGAGAGTTTCACCATGTCGCCGCTTCAGCGAGTAGTCGACGGTCTGAAGATGCACACACCCGTTGTGACGCCGAAACCGAGCAAGGAAGACTTCCGGCGGGACGCTCCACATCGTCATTGGTCACCGATAGACATTCCCCCGGGTCCGTTGCCAAAGAAAGACGCCGCCTTGAAGGAAGAAATAGAACGCAGGAAGAGAGTAAGGAATGAAGCTTTCAGGATGATTTACGGAGAGGACGACAGATCCCGTTTGGAATATCGTGATTGCCCCGAAACGTGCTATAAGAAAAAATCGAAAAGCATAGTCGAGAATAATTCTGAATTGGAGAAGATTAATGTGAATGTAGAGAAGCGAGTGCCTGAGGCATCAATGAAATCGCATTTACCCAGCGCAAAAGAAACTAGCGGTAAGATAAGACGTGGACAAGATATAGCACCTGACAAAGTCGCTGTAGTCTCTCGTGAGAGGATAAAACATCCCGAGGAAACTGTTGGCGGAGGTGGTCAGCAACAAGATGCATTGTATGAGCGAATGATTAAGAGGACGCAAAAGGAGAATGTCGGTGAGACTGGTCGAGTGAACGACGACGACGGTGATGGAAGACATCCAACCGAGAAATTGGATTTAATGACGATCGTGAAGGTATATTTCCATCAATATTTATCATTTAGACATTGAAAAAGGGAATTATGCATTCCAAAATATATACACTTAGGCTGAATTGAAGAAGATGGCCGCGGAAGGATACATATTTGCCAAGTTGCCTGAATGTTACCTCGTGCCACAACTTCAGGATTGGATCATGTACAGGAAGGATATCGCTTTCTCGAAGATCTACAAAAGTACTTTTTACTCGGATATTTGAAGAATCGATTTTTGCAAATTATCTTAAATCTGACCTCTTTCTTAAAATACAAAAATTGTATGTTATCGAGATACGTAGAAAACAACTTAAAAAAATATATATAAGTTCATAAGTATGTATTTCTAAAAATTAGATTGAAGACGATTTGAAATTAAGCCTTACTATTTGTCCATCTTTTTTTCGAACTATCATTTGACTCGTTTTTTCTTGTTTTTGCAGAAGCTTTAATGCAACAGACGTTCTTTGCTTGGATAGGATTGGACATGATGCCACAGCCGAAGATTGAATTATCGTCATTGCGTATGACGAAACGTCAGTTACGAGAACTGACGTATGATCGAGCCGAAGAAATCAAGAAGAAGGTTTATATTAATCATTTACACCAATGCAATTTTCAATATTCGAGATTTTATGCATAAAAAATACTGAATCTGGAATTGCTAACTTTTTAACTTTAATTTCATAGTTTCTTCAATTTTTGACAATCACGTGAAAATTAATTTTGAATATCAAACTAATTATTTAGAGCGATTAATGAACTGCATTTTTAAACAGATTAAAAAGGAGATAGCGATTTTTCACAGCAAAATACGTAAATCGCGTGTTTCCCATGCCCGTTCTTCGTGGGGTTCCATGGAGTTTGGAAAATTTCCTTCTGCGTGGTTCAAAAGAGCTTTTTTCACGTACATGGCTAGTAAAGAAGCCGACTGACATATTCACAAACCGTCATTGGTTTGTGAAACTCACAATATGTGATATCATATGCAAATGTTACCTCAGTGAATGTTAATTAACAAATTACGTAGGTATATCTCTCATTAATCCTAATATAATCCTTATAAAAATTCTTGATACTATCGTATTAATAATTAATCAATGATTTTGTTCAATGTATTATTAGCTATTATTTCTTAGTTTATCAATTAAAAATTTTATTTTATATTTATACAGTAATCCATAGTATTATCGACAGTGAATTTTTTATTTAATAAATGTACTAATTGTTAGATGACGCCACAAGTCCGAGGAGAAGTTCCAATTCTGGCCGCTTCTGTCACAAATAGTAGTGTTCTTAATATTCTCCGGTTGTTTGTAACCTTTTCATGTTTGAGCGAAGATTTTAAAAATTTGCTGATTATTATATATATAATTATTTCAATTATATTATTATAATTGAAAAAAAGAAACTCAAGGTTTGAAGCACAATGTCGAATGGTAAGTTACCATTTTATTATATGTAATTAACTTGTAAAATTAATTATAACCGATTGATTTACTTAATTCTTTATTTGTAACATCATACAGAAATAAATACAAGCTTGCTAGTGATAGTATTGGATGTAAATCCCGTGCAAAGGATAGTGAAGCAAGAAACTAAGGTACTGTCGCAATGTCTGGACTCCACGATAGTCTTTGCCAATGCTCATCTGATGCAGTCATCCAACAACGAATTGGCAATGATGGCGTGTCACGGTCATAATGCCAAGTTTCTCTATCCCTGTGAGAATGTGGCAGAAATCAGGCAGATGGATGGTCAATATGAGAGGTTTACCATGGTAGAACGTACGGTACGTCTACAATTGCAGCGGGTTATCAATGAGATATCCATGGATCTTCCACTGAACACTGAGAGCCTCATTTCCGGTGCGCTCAGCATGTCACTATGTTACATTGCTCGGCTCGAGCGTGACAAAGTTGCCGGTCAAAAGCTATATCCTAGAATATTGGTGATTACTGCCAGCAACGATTCTGCTACACAGTATATGAATTACATGAACATATTTTTCACGGCACAGAAAATGGTTTGTTTTTATTCTAGATTTTTGTCTAACAGTTCCCTGTGATGGAAATATTTTACTAAAACTATATTTGAAAATCTCCATTGACTATTACATCATCATTTTTTTAATATTTCAGTGATATTTCACGTTAAAAAAGTCATACAGTTTTCAATTATATTCAATAAATCTTATGTTATTTAATATTTCAAAGTTATTTTTTTATTATTTTTCAGCAGTGTACTTTAACTTTTTTTATATTTCACAGTGTTACATTATTATATATATTTCACAGTATTACATTACACTTCGTAAGGAAAATTATGATTTATTTTTACATACAATAATTTTTCCATAAATTTCATTTCACTTTTCATTGATTTTATAGTACTTTTAGCTTAAAATATTTCCATCAAGATTTCTATCAAGAAAAGATATTTTAATCAAAAGATCACATGACATTGACTTTTAGGGCGTTATTTTGGATGTATGCAGTTTGGACCAAGAACTGACGCTTCTACAGCAAGGCTGTGACATCACAGGCGGCAATTATTTAAAGGTGCCGCAACTTGCTGGTTTGCTGCAGTATTTATTGGTAAAAAGAACTCGTGCTTCATTTTGCACAATATCGATCGATCTAATTGTCACACGTGTTATAAACACTTATCCGTTTATGATTTTCAGTGGGTTTTCCTACCAGACCCCAGTGTTAGATCGAAGTTAGTTCTTCCCCCACCAGTCAAAGTGGATTATAGGGCAGCGTGTTTTTGCCATCAGGAACTTATTGACATTGGATATGTTTGTTCTATATGTTTATCAAGTAAGTGTCTTTGTAAGATTGTATTTAGATATATTTGGCAATTTCGACGTTGTCATATTTAATGTTACAAAATTACCTCGAATCTCAACTATAATTGCGACTATTGCTAAGTTTTCACTTCTATTAAGATATTAATATTATATTGCGTTTCTTACAGTTTTTTGCAAATTCAGTCCAATATGCACGACTTGCCAGTAAGTATTGCAACTATTTTAATTATGTATTTTACTTCGTACAATACATGTGAATCAATCGTCACATTTCTTTCTCTTAAGCACGGTGTTCAAAATGCCAGGACCTATACCGATGAAGATAAAGAAGAAGAAAAAAACTGTAGATATCGTTAATTAGGCTTTTATTATTATTATGCTTTATCATATTTCCATATTCGCCGTTATATTGATCAAAATAAAATGAGACCAAATATCTGATTGTTATTATGTAATTCGTGTATCTTGCGATTCATTAACTGCGATGCGACTATGTGCCGACGAATTCTGAGGCAGCACATAGCCGATGCGTTCTTGTATCTCGCTTTGAGGGACCTTGCCGCCCCACACCGGCGGGTTCATGGAGGACGACGATGACGACTGTCTCTCGGCTTTCTTCTTGGCCTCACGCGTCTTCTGCAGCTCTTCATATTCCTGCAGGTCATCTAGGCGCATGTCTATGCGCGTCGGACTTCGCCGAATCATTTCACTGAAGAGAGCACAATAACGATAATTTTACACACAACGCACTAATTTTAAGATATGACGATAAAATGACAAAACACGCTGTATATTCTTCGAAGTATAACCAGGAGTCAAAATAGATCTTTGTTTACATACTTCGGTGAGGCAAGAGTGAGTCAAAGTGACTCATTGTTTCTTTTTTTTTAATAAGAAATGAATAAGATAAGAATGTGGGAATTTTCTAGGATTAAAGAAGTAGGCTGATAATTCGGAATTTTAATTTGGCAAGCTTTGTCAGACGATTTAAGATCGTGGGTAGCGAGTTTTAAATGAAAATTGTTAAAAAAAAACTATGTATTTAAACATGTCCATGACTGGGCCCCGGGGTGCTTTAAATTACGCTCCTGCCCTCGCACAATATGGCGAGGTACACGACGATGTTTCGAATAATAATATACCAAATCAATTTACATCGATCCCAAACGTTGTTCCTCGCCTGTTTTGCAATAGCGTGAGTCGCATTTTTGTCGCCAGAATCGCAACCTATCCCGAAAACAGGAAGGTGCAGGACCGTTAAAAGCTCGCAAAAAATGCGAGCGCAGAGTGGTTGATCACGCGTGAGCACGCTTTCAGTCGGTCGGGTACTTTTACCTGAAAATCCGCGGGTAATCCTGCGTCTCGACTGCGACAGGCGGCCGATATTAAACTGTACGCTGATCAGCGAAGTGCGACAGCACGAGACGATGCTCTACCTCGAGGATTACGTGGAAAGTGAGTACGAAAAGCGTCGCGCTCGATTCACTTGCGGGATCCTAACCTCTCCGTGACGCTCGGCTAACCTCTACGGCTCATTTATTTGCACGATTCCACAAGTCCCACGGCGAACGCAGCCATTTTTGTTTATGTCCTGCCGACCGGCCCGCGTGTCCTTTTGCACGTCGGTCCCAGGATCGGATTGCGATAATTATTGTACGATCAGAAATCGTGTCTACTTAACGATGTGTTCTTACACTGAGAGGTTAGGTGGACGTCCGTCCACTGGTCGATATATGCTATTATTAGTTTGTCCGTGACAATAATAAGCGATTATTAAAATCTGCAAGTTGCCGTTGACCTTGCCATGTTTTTAGAATTTGTTAAAAGTCTTTTTGAGGAAATCTCCTCAGTAATATATAATTGCAATATGAGTTGCAACAATGTTTTGTCTTGCTTGTACAGTATTGATATATAGAAGTAACAATAATAAATATATATATGATATACAGGAATCACATATAATATAGTAGAAGTTTGTGTATGTTTTTAAATTTAGATTCGCAAGTCATAGTGATATATTTGCTAATGCATGTTCCATGATTTCAGTGATCGAGCATCTTCCGCAAGAGCTGAGAGACCGATTCACCGAAATGAGAGAAATGGATCTAGGTGTACAGAGTATGTAGTTTTGTTAGAATATCTTCACAAATCCTTATATTTATATTATTAAGGATACAAGTAGCTAGCATAATAGTGTAATATTTAATAACAACAAATCTGATAATTTCAGATTCAATGGATAGCCTGGAAAAGAAAGTAAAGACTTTCTTCTCCAATGCCAAAAAGATGAAGCTCAGTGAGAAAGAGGCTGAGTATGAAGCCATAAGAAGAGAATATTACAAGACCCTGGAGGATGCTGACGAGAAGGTGCATTTAGCTAATCAGATGTATGATTTGGTGGAGAGGTATTTGAGGAGGCTGGACCAGGAGGTGCACAAATTCAAGATGGAATTAGAAGCCGACAATAACGGCATCACCGAGATCCTAGAGAAAAGATCCTTGGAGCTGGATCAACCGCCCACGAATAGCAGTCAAAAGGAGAATCGTTACAGTTTCACACCGAGCAGAACGCGAGATAATCATAGTCATTGTAAGTATAGCCAAACTGATTATAATATAATTGGTCTGTTCTCTTTTCAGATGAATTAGCTGCACCAGTTTAAGAAATTTACGCACGTTGTGAAGCATGAGAATCTTGTACGTATGCTTCAATGTGTATGTAAATTTCTTGAACCGGTACAGTCAGTTCAACTACAAAGAACAGACCAAATATTACAACAATTGCATAAGCTGAATGTATTTTTGCCGTGATTGCTATTAAATAACGGATTTTCATTCTTGATTCGAAAGAGAACGTGATATACTCTCAATCGCACTAACATTCAATTGAGGTAAAGCTGAATTTCAATGGAGCCTCTAAAATTTGCTGACAAAACAAATTCATTAATCCAAATGCGATTAAATCTGTAAAGGTACTCAAAGAAGAGTCTAATTTCTTCTATGTGTATATTTCAGCACGAGCGGAGAAGAGAAGAGACTCTAATGCGTCTTCCACGTCTGTTGAGAAGAGGATGGCGATTGAGAAGTTTCCGACAACGAGTTTGCCGGAGTCGCGGCCGACTAATTCCGGGCCGATCATCGCGACGAGCAATGTGCCGCCCGCACCGGCAGCTATCGCTAATTCCGTGGGTTCGGTGTGTTACAATTTGGGCCACATTGGTGCCGGTGGTAACGCCATTGCCGCAGCAGCGTCGCAAGCGATCGCGGCGACGCAATCCATGCAGCAAGGCAGACGATCGGCGAGCTTGAAGGCCAGCTACGAGGCCATCAACACTGGCGGCGTGCACGCCGCTGAGTTCAGCAGAGAACTGGCTGGTGCGGCGCAGACCGCCATCGCGGCCATTCAAGAGACCACAAAGAAACATAAAAAGTATGTATCGTTAAGACCATAGCATTGAAAAAAAGAAAAAAATCATGAATATGCATTACATTAGAAGAGAAAGAAAGAATGTGATTCTCTCTTAAATTATAGGTCTGTTTGTTTTCGCTGCACTGCTGAACTAATGCATTAAGTTAAAGTGAGAAAATATATACTTGTCTCGCTTCAACTTATTGCATTAGTTCAACGGTGCAGCGAAAGCGAACAGACCTTAGATTTATCAGAATTCATCAGAATCAACTTTTTAAATTGGATCTTCGTTGTATATTTTCTTAACTTTCTGTTAGTCGCAATATCTAATAGGTACACGTTCATGCTACAATGTATCGCCGTTGCTGCACGGTTCAAGATCGAACCCGTCTTTGTCAATGTTTTTTCTTTGTCCTCTTTATTTACTGTTTTGTTTCTCTTTCTCCTCTCTCTCTCTCTCTCTCTCTCTCTCTCTCTCTCTCTCTCTCTCTCTCTCTGAACTCTTTCTTTACTGTTTACTGTTTTGTACGCACTTTAGTGCTTGATCTATCAGTTAAGTGCTAATGAAAAAAAAAAATTGTTTCAAGAAGTAAACGAAAAAAATGGGAAAGTTAGTATATCTGTGAAATATATTGCAGTCACTCACGGCTGAAAAATATTGCGACTAACAGAGAACTATGTGAAGTTTAAAGCACACTGTATCATGTATTTGTGTATTCTGGATTTAAACGAGTACTAATTCGGAATTTTAGATCAGCAAGTTTTATCAGAGAGAACAAATTTTAATTTGAAAATTCACAAGAAAACACGTGTCTAAACGTGCTTTCAATCGGACTTCGGAGTACCTTAAATTATGCTCCTTATGCTTTCCGCACAATTGATTAAAATGTTACACTTTGCGAAAGAAATTCCCTTGATAGAGATTGCTCAATAAAAGATTATTAAAAGGCATGTTTTCCATATTAGAAAAGTTACAGCCACGGTGCCCAGTTCAAGCGTGATTGCTGCCACCGTGCAACAACCAGTGTCGCCTCCAGTTGTGACTACGGCCGCGCAAGTAGTGGACTCGGACAACCCAGACTGGACGTTCGACCCGAATGAGCCTCGATATTGTATTTGTAACCAAGTCTCCTACGGTGACATGGTTGCGTGCGATAATTCAGACGTAAATCCCGTGAATTGTCATCCTTCAAATAACGTTAACCTTTTCAATGTCGCGCACAAACATATCGCTATATACAGATGTATGTTATGGTTATGCGCACTTGATATAACGCATTTATATCATCTCATTGGTGGTTGGCGTCTCGACATTCGAAGGGTTAACAGGGAAGGTGTTTTAACAAAAGAGAGCATTTGTAGAGGCAAATTCACACATGTCTGTCGACTGTTTCTAGTGTCCGTTCGAATGGTTCCACTATCCATGCGTGGGCATCTCAGCACCACCCAAAGGCAAGTGGTACTGCCCTCAATGCACATCTTCCATGAAGAGACGTGGTGGACGGAAGAATTGATTAGGAAAGCGGTTGAGGGACGTTGACCATGAGAGAGCGATGTTACTACCTCTTAGACACTGTCCGTCGTCGAGAATCGACTTAGTTAGGGAACCGTTAGCACTGATTTTGTATGACTGTTTTGATGTGATTCAAGTTCGTGTCGTCGTCGTCGTCATCGTCGTCTTGACCGCGTCTCCTCTCTTCGTGATCGTGAGTGTATGTTACTTTGACAATATTATACCTCTCATGGAAATACGGCGCGTCTAGCGGATACGATGGATCATTGTGACCACTTTTCATTTTGTAAACATTTTAATGTACTTCGCGTATGTATCACGGCAATGATACTCCAAGAGTGTTGCGCGAATTTTCGAGAGGAGACGAGGAGAATACAAGGTGATTCGGAAAACACGAGCACTGTCAACCACTAATGTATTCTTCGACGCGTTTGAAATCGACCGTTACTCGTCGAAAAAAAAAATCTAAGACACTCTCAGTGTCTGGTTATTTAATGAGTCAGGCGATTTCTGACAATTAAATGTACATAAATAACGAGACTCCAAACGTTATTTTTTTCCTTTTTGTAATTAATTTTAGATACGCGTGTATATTTTAATTTAGTAGCGATCTAATTTCTCAAGCATAATTTTCGGTGTATTTAATGAGAATTCAAATTTACATTTTTGTTGATCAGGAAAATGATCTCTGAAGTCGCTCGCGAATAGCGATTTCCTTATCGACAACGGTCCGCGTATAAACGATTAATTTAAAAATTATTAATTTCGAAAGCAAAAATGTAGCGAATTGGTGTATAAATAATAAAGTGAAGCATGCAGAGGCAAATGTTGCCAAAGTGTGTGAACGTTCAATTCTCTCTCTCTCTCTCTCTCTCTCTCTCTCTCGCGACCAATTGGCCGTTGTTTTGTGTTCGAAAATACGAATTTCAATGTGTGTGAAACTTTCAAAATACATACTCTCAATCTAAATTTTTACCGAACGCAATCGCAAGGTATATTCCGACGGTTTTGTTTCATGCATAAAGTCTTAATATTAAATATTTTTTTGTTTCATGCATAAAGTTTTAATATTAAATTCACTCACTAACGACTCCTTTATTAATTGCGACTGCGTCATTCGGCACGGTGTAACGGTTTCCAAAGTAGCTTCGCGGGTGAACGTATCTTCTATTACCTTCTTCTTATCTTTATCTCTGCGAAACTTGTATATGTGCCAGATATATGACATACACAGACTAAAGAATATATAATAAAGCACGAATTTCGGATCTAAGTTGAAATCAGTTGCCCAAAGCATCGTTAACATGTTCACTCGGTACTCGGTTACTTAACGTTGCTAAAATCCTCGCGACGGTATTATCGCCGTGAAACGATATATAACGATATATAACGTGAAACGATATATACTCGGTACGCGATTTGTCATCTACGCGAATTGTACGGACGTCGAAGACTCGCGAGAAGTCGTGGGAAGGTCGCTTATATACTCGCCCGCGTACATGTATGTTTACTGTTTATTGCGAGAGGGGCATGAGTGTGAAATTCAAACGCGCCCGGGCCACGAGCTGCGTTGGTCGGGTTTCGGAAAATTTCCACCGTGAAGGTGAAGCAGAGTGAGTGATGATGGAGACAAGGTAGATCCTCCCCAACTGCAAATAGTTTCCACGAATGGTAGATCACGTAAGCTACAATTTATCATTTGCTTTCTAATAAGTAAGAAACATTAAATCAATCTTTTGAAACATCGATTTTATGTGGATTTTACAAATATTTTGACATAATATTTTACAAATATTTTTCAACGGTTACTTGATAATATTATATTTTTAAATATTAAAATTATGACGTAGGAAAATGATTTTTAACATTTCAGTCAAATATTGTCAACGGTACGTTATATGCAACATTAAAAACTATTATATATATGAAAACATTATATATTATAAAATATCATTGTAATAACGTTGTGTTAACGATTTCTTGCTTACTGGCTTATCACGTTAAGTACTAGAAAGGATCCTTTAGAATACTAAATCGACCGTATTTTCCTCAATACATAATTCATGTCTTCCGTGAGTTAATTTTACTGATTCCATATTGTTGCAAATTAATATCATTTTCTTGCCAATTCGACTTGACATTGCTATGAATGCATTCTAAGATGCTAATGGACTGAATATATATAACTTATGTAACTATATTACACTTATTACTTATTACTTATTTTATTTATTACTTATGTAATTATAAACTTGTATTGTCAACGCATTTCGGAGCACATTTAGAATGGCTCTCATCTCAACTTCGATTAATGCCTGTTTCTAACATCGTGGTTTAAATCTAATTGACGATTAACTCAATTGGAATCGGCCAATCGCATTAACCAATTAACTGTACTGATTAACGCGACTGGTTAATTCCGTCAAATTAATCCTGAATTAGATTTAAACTATAATGATAGTAGAAACAGATATTAAGCAACGATTAACTTAACCGAGAAGTTGGTGAAAGCCATCTTTAGGATCTGAGTTAATTTGCGTTAATACCATACATCGGAAACATTATTAAAAACTCCCTCCCAGATGCAACGAGTTATCTGAATCCACTCTGAAATTTCAGGGTGGAAAATCTTTCTCCCGGGGTATGACACCCAACTGAATTTCCGAACAACTGTCGTTATTTTGGTCACCCGAACATTTCTTAACAGCGCGGATCTCCATGGGTGTGCCCGGGTGAAGCTTTCGAACGCAGCCTCACGTGATTGATGCGCAGGTCACCTGGTAACGTGCGCGATAATAATACTGAATAATGAGAATCTGAGCGCAATGAGAGTTTCGCGAACACTTCACAATGGTTGCGTTTAGAAAACACAAACGATCAATGATTACGGTCGGTGATTATTGGTTTTACCATTAGATCTCTAAATTTAGACTAATTATGTTGACGAATTATCCAATCGTTGTACAACCTTTGTGTCTTCTGAACGCAACTATTGACCAATCGCATTGATCAGTTTAGCTGATTGGCCAATATGATTGGTGGATTCTGTTGAGTTCATCGTCATTTAGATTTAAACCGTAATGATAGAAACGGACTACCGACCGTCAATGATGTCATTCACGTTGGACGACCGTCGAGCGTAAAATGTCAAAGGGTTCATTGGAATACACGGTATTCTACGAGTATTGGATATTTCGTCCCGTACTCTGCAATTGTGCGCAAACCCGGACGGTGCGATTGACCGCCTAACCGACGATGAACGAAAACGATAAGCTGTTCGTGCGGCGAAGTAAAAATTCCGAAGGCAGAATCAACATCGACGAACCGCTCTGGAGCCAAGACACGTATCTCGGCAGATGCATGCATTACACATTTATCACGGATTGTCGTACGTTGCTCGTGTCGGAGAGGAAATTACGGGAAGCGAAGGAGCTCTGCGAGGATTACAGGTGAGTTTTAACTTCTTTATCTTCCGATATGCGACTTTTGAATCAGTCTAAGGAAGATTGATGGGAAAATCTCGCTTGTGACATTGACCGATGTCATCGTACGTTTCAGAGTTGGGAAGGAGCCTACGGGTTTGCAACGCAAGGACATAATCTATGCGAAAAAACTCAGGGACAGCGCCTTCCATCCTGATACTGGTGAGCTTATGCATTTGCTCGGTAGAATGTCCTCCCAACTACCCAGTTCCATTGTCCTTACCACTGCCATGCTCACTTTTTATAAGTAAGATGATAAAATCCTTTTGTATAAATTTTTATTCAAGCCTATTATTCCGTTTATTTTATATATGATTGTATTTTTTACTCTACTTATTTACCTGTCACAGGTCAGCTTATGGGGTGGTAGCATGCCAACTGGTTAATCAAGGCATTAATGCGATCGTCAATTACACTAATCGAAATGCCATGAGTGATGATCCTGAAGATGTTAGTATGGTCTATCAAGCTTTTGCGTTAGCTACTACGGCAAGTTGTGCTGCAGCATTAGGCTTCAGAAGGATTATCTCCAGCAGAGGAGCTCTCTTTGCAGTGAGTAAGCTTGCTTCAACTTTTTCAAGTTGTTCCTTACTTTGTATTTTCTACTTAAATATAATGCAAAAAGTATATCAAGTCATTAAGGAATTAAGTTTTAATTTTTTAATTATTTAAAATAACTTTTTTTAAAAATTCAGATCTCTACAATTTTGAATCCCGGTAATTAGATGTTTCTTGAAAATTAATTACAGATGGAAAACTAGTGAAAGTACATCATTCAACATATAATACAAAGAAAACGGTTTTATAACAAATTGTATTAATAAATTTATAAATATTTACAAATATTAACATTAGAAATATTAAAAATATTAATATTATAAATATTAAAAGTTAATATTATAAATATAATATTATTTACAAATATTTTTATCATAGCGTTTCGTTCCATTCTGCGCGGTTGCGGCGGGCAATGTAGTGAATCTCCCCATCATGAGGCAACGGGAGATCACACGAGGTATTCCAATCTTCACTAAGGACAGGGAGGAGTGCATTATGATGTCGAGAATAGCCGCCATCAAAGGTATCTCCGAGTGCATCGTCACTAGGATATTAATGGCGGCGCCAGGAATGTTGTTAGTCCCTGTGGTGACTCAACGCCTACGATCGTATTGTTTCTACCAGCTTCGGCCGTGGATCGTCATGCCCATCGAGATCAGCCTGAGCACAATTTGGTAATTCCTGTAGCACGTTATACGACGAGTTTTCGCGCAAACGTATTGGCGGACGTTGTGCAACGATGGTTTGTGCAATTTCGTTATTCGAACTAGAGTCGATACTGCAACCTGTTGCGTTGTATACGGTCAACTTTGAGAAAAGTTACACATAGCGAGCAATGTAATAAATGTAATTCCCCCGTGCAGTTTGCTGATCATGATTCCCTCGGCACTCGCTATTTATCCGCAAAAGAAGTAAGTAATTTTTTTAGAGTAATGCTGTGTGTGAATAATTCCAAATTAGGAATTAACTTGTATGTACTGATATACTTATTTCTTTTTTTAAGTTCAATGAAGCCGGGACTGATGAAGATATGCCTAAGCGAATACGAGGAGTTTCAGAAAGCGATTGGCGAGCGCACGTACCCGGACAGAGTTTACTACAACAAAGGATTGTAGTTGGTGTGGATAAAGAGATATTTACAATCCGTTAGTCGTTCGACTTTCCATTCGGTTTATGAAATTCTCGGATACACGAAATTGTACAAGTTACAAAGATGGTTAAGGCCATGATGTGAACAATTTCTGTTTCATGAAATATCTTGCAACTTGTTTATTGGTATATTAATTACGTATACTAATATATTTCTTATTAATTACACATATGTGTACGACAGTCTGTTGTCATATCATTATACATGGCAGCATTTTTACTTTCGACGGGTTTTGAAAAAATGCGAAGAAAATGATACTATTATTACGTGATATTCCAGTGCCTAACGGTATTTTGAAAAAAGAAAGAAATATTTGCGATACTAAAACAATGTTAAAACATCTCAACAATTTATAAACTAATATTAAGATACCGGAGCAGAATCATTGAGCGTTTGTTTGAACGGAATTATTGCTACGATTTGTTCCTACAGGTACGCTAATGACTTTATTACACGATATCTCAGTGTGTCGATCGAATTTCATTTTATCATCCTGCGAAGATACGCATATTACGTTCTGTGGTTAAGCCTAATTTCTAACAATTGTCAAGGCAATGTTAGAAATTATGTACTTCGAATCACGCAAAAGTTNTATAAAAAAAAAAAAAAAAAAAAAAGTACTATCACAACAATCGATCCTCAATGTTGTGATAGTACTTCTTTTCCTCTTAGGATGTTATCAATCACGGATGCGTCTCTGATCCAGCAGAAGTCGCCAGTGTGTTAGTGGAAACAACGACACTTATAAAGGATGGAATAGAGTTTATCTTTAAGTGACTTGTAGACTAGGACTTTTTATAACATTATAACCCCTTGTTGAAATACAAGTACGTTGGCATCGCGCCGCCTTCGCAGTTCTTCTTTAGCAGTTTATAGTTTTCCGGTTCCCAGCGTTGCAGAGTGCTCGCTTTGATGGAACTGTGAAAATACACATATACGTGGGCTATCATATAAAACGATAAAATAGAAGAGGAAAGGATTCTTCTACATGTAATATGGAAATATTATTTACCAATTTTGCGGGAACAGCGCACATGCCGTTGGCACCATGACCGAGAGACTAAGAAAATCCACGGGATTTATATTAATAATTATAATAATAATAAATAATAATAATAAATAAGAGAATATAACGGTAAGATAAGCGAAATGGAATACTTACGAAATGCCGCACATTAAAATTTGTATCGGTGCATGCAAAGGTTTAATTTTTTGCATCCATGGGTACTTCTCCAATTTTTCCATTATAGGCGGTAAGATAACTGTATGGATTAATTACGGTTTTATTTAATTGTATCGTTGTAATGACGTTGAAACCAAGAAGTTGGAACGAACGATTTTCAAATAAATTGATACGCACGCATGCCAGGCGCGCACATGACGATCCTCGAAATGACGACTTGCGAAATGCCCTTTACAGCCGCGAACTAAAATGACACACATATATATACTATATAAACACACACACACACACACACCTATATATACTATATAAATACACATACACACACATTATTACACACAAAATTCTACTACGGATGTAAGTGGATTTTTTGTAACAAAAAAAAATTTTGTACCTTCGATCTCGTGAGTTTTCTGCCGCCATCGTCGACGAGATCCACGCCGTTTGTAATTTCATTTTGTCTCATTAGGGGGATATTAGCGCAATTAGCGGCTGCCACTGCGGCGAACGGAACGTATCTCTGAAAGTTTGGTGTTTTTTCCTCCCTTTTCATTTTATCCTTCGCAATCTGGCGCGAGTCTCGGAAACTCTGCTTCAACATGCATATACAGGATGTCCCAAGAAACAAGAAACTACAATTTCGTTGGATTCTATTCAATTTTCTCTCGCTTAAAGTTCACGTAAAATTATACTACTTAGAAAAAAAGAGGATCGACTGGTTTGGCTTTTACTGGTGCAAAGCTTAGGACATCCTATGTGAGCGTTTTCCGCGAAACTTACAGCCATCAGAGGAGTCGCGCGTTTCTCCCAAAACGTTTTACACCCTAACGCGGTGACCATCGCCGCAGCGGTAGCGCTAACATAAGCTACACCTAGCTGACTAGTGGTTACAGGACTGTTAGCGTTCCTGTTGGTATAATTGACAAGCGCGTTGAAAGACTGGTTGACCCACTGCCAGAAAACCACCGCTTGCGTAGTCCTAAATCGAACCGATATACGATATGTGTGAAAAAACAAATAACAACTTCCGACAAAGAGCAAAATCATAGAAGCCAAGCTGATCTTTTTCAACTGTCTTTTTTTTTTAATTTTTGGCTTTTTTAAGTCATCGATAAATGCTTTCTAATTAGTGTCACAAGTAGACATAAGCGTCCTATCCTTTGTTACTCGTTAAATATAGAACAAAGACAAAATGATATCGAATGAAAAGCATCCGATACAACGGAAGAATTTTTGCGAGTAATGAGGAAAGAATCGACTTCTGGATGAGGCGTTCTAAAGAAATACCTGTAAAACTGAAGCATCGCGCCGGTGATAGCCATACCTCCCGGCACCTGGAATGACATTCTACCAAAGACGTTTTGCAGGTCACCAGTGTCAGGATGAAAGGCCGACTCGTACAGCTTCTTCGCATAGATGATCTGCTCCCTGGTCGTATCGGCTGGCTCTTTGCCAAGCCTACAAAGTAGAGGGGTTCTCGAGTGAATAGAGAGAAAGAGAGAGAGAGAGAGAGAGAATATATCGAATAGCAAGTGTGCACATTTCGCTCTACTGCCGCGTTACTTTTTAACGACGAACTCTATGAGCCACTTTGTACGGATCTTTCTCAATGAAAATGCCGCAGCAAGCGTAATTTCCCGACGAGCGAGTTAATGAGCCTTGCAAGAACCGCTGAAAAGATCGCCATCCAACGGGCTCCACGTGTTTTCTGTAGTCACCTGTATTGCTCGCACAAGTTTTTGGCATCGAGCAACTGCGACTCGGGGACGACACAAGTTCGGAAATCGGTCATCCACGCGAAATATTTCCATCTTCCCACGAAGCTGTTGAGGTCCCACAACGGCTTGTCCAGGTCTAGTCTTTCGCTCGTCATCGTACCTGATCAAGAGTCGTCCCGGCACGGATCTGGTCAGTGTGACATATAGTGAGACACAGAACAGAGGAGCATTTTGGGGTAAACGTGAGTCGCGAAAGTCGCACGGAAAAAAAATTTAGTTGAATTTGCCAAGCAGTGAATAAACCAAGCGCGTTTTCGTTGAAAGGAACAGGATTCCTGATTATAAGAACCAAAACCTCGGGTCATAAGAATCAGAAATTCTTTTTTCTTCAACCAAAACGCGTTTGGTTTGTTCACTGTCGGGTCAATTCGATCAAACTGTTTTTCCATGCAAAATCTTTAGGAATGAAAATTACCCTCCTACAGTTCGTCTCTTTAGAAATAATTGCAGACCTAGAGTTTATATTATTTATAAAACAATGAATCGTTTATATATATCAATCTTAGGAAACCAATTATCGAATGATATTGATTTTTGTAATATGTCTATCAGTTCCCTCAGGATTTTATTGCTCAAATTACTATTGTAACTTGCTTATTTTTGCATTTTATTCACAAAGCAGTCTCTGCAAGCGTAAATTTTTCTATTTATTATATCAAAAAGAAATTTTTCCTGTGAATTTAAATAATAATAATAATAAGAGTGAAGTGGAATATATTCTGTTCGATAAATATGTGTAGTAAAGAATATGTATCTACCGAGTGTCTCGAGGGCGTCGGGAGAGTGATATTTTAGGACACGACATATGCATAACCGCATCTTAAATCAGGTGTTGGACATTTTTACACGTTTATGCGCTTCGCATGAGCCCGTGCAAAATGCCTCTCCGTAATGTTACCAGAAGTCCGGCAAGATGAGGATATATTTATAGTTTTAGTATGCGCGGGGTCCGCGTGCGTGAAAATAGCGGCCGCTTCGTCAGGCGTTTTTGAAACATACGAAATGACGAAATTTTCACTCTTTGTCGCCGGGATGTTATGCAATAATTTTCATGCGTAGAACGCTCGATAATAGTGGCCGAGCGGAAGATAAACGCGTTTATTTAGCATCAGCCGAGCGTCCTTTAACGGTAATCTCAACGCGGAACTAATGCGTGCAATTGCCCGACATTGAGGTGTGTAAAATGTCTCTAAAAGAAATCTTGTAAAACATGGCTCCTTGGAATTTTACAGAAATCAGGCATCGGAAAGCATGCGCAAACATGAATAGCGCAGCCACGAAATCGCTCGCATTTATGCAAATGCGCGTTCAATTATGAATCACAGTAATATCTCATGCAAAATAGGGAGCATTCTACGAAAGTTGCAGCGAAGTTGAGCCGTTGCGTCACGATCTGGTTGATAAACAACGCGCGTTATCAGTGTCGAGTACGGTATTGCGCGAATTTGACGGTGCTGATCGTTCGAAGGCAAGCCGAAATCGCTCGCGACTTGAGAACTTGAACACGCCTATCGCCGGTCAAATCATTAATTAAAACATAACGCAACACCTGACATTGTTACGATCAATCGAGCGGAATCGGTTTTTTTATTTGCATTGCAATCAATTTGCGTAGTTTACGCAAATCATTGTGAAATCTAGTCGGTTCTCCGGAAGCAGATGATAGACAAGCTCGATTTTCTTCTTTGTGCTTCTAGCTTCGTACTTTTCTCTATCAAAATAACGTTCAATTTTCCGTTATTTCAGTTATTCTCAGCCAAGTCGAGTGATTCGTGGATCACATTCTCGGCTATCATACAAATAAGAAAAAGGACTGGAATTAACAGTCGCCGAGATGTCATAAGTTGTCTGATCGATTGCAGTTCGTTTCCAGCTCCATCAATAGCAACGTCCAGTGTGAACACAGCTTAACAAGTGTTGATGCATGTCATGACAACGTCGTAAGTACGTACACACACTTTTCGTATGATGCGTGTTATCAATACACTTTTTTTTAAACAACATTTCACGTTTCTCTCTGTAGCACTCGCGTCGATATCGATTCCTGGCTTTCCCAGAAGCCGCGGTCGAAGGGGGCGACCCAGATTTTCGGGAGGGTGTACATACTCTTAGAGGGCCGGTCACATCGGCAAGCGCGATCCGACCGATTAGTTAAACGTTAACGTTAGATCATTTCGGTTGAGACAAAGACCATGAGAAGGATAATTTCGCCGATACGTATCGTGGGCCCGTCAAACGTTCGGCTCTCCCGCACTCGCGATTCGTCGTCACACAGCGCTTATGCAACGTCTCTGTGAGAGCGAAAGACCCTTAGTCATCGTTGTTACTTACCGTGAAACCACGCGCGCTGAAGCCCCTTTGAAGCTGCGCTCGGCCGCTCTGTTTCAACGTTGACGTGCCGGAGATGCGGCGAACGTTGGAGTCAAGAAGCGCGATATAGGCGTGTGAGAGGTTTCTTGTTACGCTACTGGTACCCGCACCCCTCAAAGAACATGGGACGTGGTTACGTCGCGTTCACACTGGTGCAACATTGTTGACAGAGACGTTGACCATAAAAACGTCTTTCCAGCACGTTTCCTACGTTGACAACCCGGAAGTCACGTAAAAGACGCAGGAGACGCAGGTCGGGCGCGGAGTGATTACAGGCGCGAGCGTGATCGCCGGAGCTCCAGGTCGCTTCTCCGGCTGGCTGTTAGTCTGGAGTCAGGTTGGTAACATTGCTCGCGGTAAAGAGTCGAAGACCTCCTTTCGAGGCACCCGTCGTGCGTACGAGTCTGAGACGACAATCCGCCTCCGAGATGCGCGCGCATGCGCATCGGTGCCGGCGACGGCGGCCAGCTGTGTCGGCCGCCAGCAAAGCAAGGCGGTGTGCTCTTCCGCACCGCCGCTCCCCTCTTCACCTGCCGCTTCCTCACCCCTCCACCACCATGACTCCGAAGCTTCACCGTCTGCCTCATGCGGCCCATGGCCTCCGCACACACGCAGCCGAGTGAGGCAGCCGCAGCCGCCGCCGCCGCTCCTCACGTCATCCGGCTCTCGGGCCGAGCGAGCGAGCGAGAAAGAACGACGTCGACAACGACGACGACGACAACGTCGACGACGTCGACGATAACGACGACGACGACGACCGGTGCGGAGCGTGACGCGGGGCAAAGCGGAGCGGCACGACCCGCGAGACCAAGAAGGATACGAGGCGACGAGCTGCTGCTCGCTGCTCTCGGTCGGCTCGCCGTCGTAGTGGAGCACAACGGAGCGCAGCAAAGCTGAAAGCGGTGCGGAGAGCAGAGAGCACGGAGGAGAGCCCCTAACCACACGCTAACCAGCCTCGCTCGCTCGCAATAACTCTAAACGAGGCAAGATGGCGGCCGCGGAGGCAGCGGAGGCCCCGTCCGCTCTCCTCGCGCTCACCACGGGCGACAAGATCCTCGTGACCGTCGATTCCGCGCTGCCCGACATCCTCGTGGTGTCTTTCGTCCACGGTGCCAAGTGCTTCCAAGGCGTGCTCCTTGACGCTACCAAGAGGTAAGATTCAGAATGAAAGAGAGAGAGAGAGAGAGAGAAAAAGAAAGAAAGAAAGAAAGAGGAAGGACCTAATGTCGAGAAACTCGTCTTCCTCTGTTTCCTATTCGCTCGGTCTGCCGAAAGTCTTTATCCTGTCGCTAGGACAACGACGGCTACCCTCACGACGCTTTTCGGCTCCGTAAGGATCCCGATGGAAGTACGTTCAGCCTCTATCCGACGGCTGTTCTATGAGGGACCGCTTGGAGATAAGCTGATTCATCAGCCCGACGGTCCTTCGTCGGTTTCGATCCTTCGTCAAGAAACGAGTCCCGAGAAGCAAGAGAGCGATGCTTTCGCGTTTGATAGCTCGATAGTCCGATTTGTGGACGTGGATGGTTGCTTCGCGGGGGTTTCGCGTTTGTAATTCCGAGGTCTCGGGACTTCCGAGCGTACGGGGTATATCTGGAGACCAGTCGATCCGAAGGTCGCCAGGATCAGATTGTGAATGAAAGTGGCGAGTTCGACGATTCTGTGCTTGCTCGTTGTTGATTTCTCAGGCAATGCATAATTGAGTAGTAATAAAATATTGGTTGCAGAGATTTAAGAATAAAACTGCGGGGATCAGCCCGAGGTGTTTTTCGAAGGATCTCGTCAGGATTAGTTTTGGGACGAAGTTACGGTCGTGTTTGGCAAAGCAAATATTCGTAGGTTTTCGTGTATCCTGTTGCTCGGGTGAATGTTTTCTTTGTGTATGCGAACATCTTGGTATCCCAGAATACGCGAAGTTCGTAGACTCGGGTCCTCAAGAAGACTAATGGATTCGGCGATCCTTCAACGGTTGCGGTTAGATTTGCAAACATAATTACGTCGGATGAATTGGACATTCGCGATGTTTTTCTACGGACAGTCTACCTATTCGACCTAATTTAATAATTTCGAGATCCTGAGATACGTAAGGAGAGAAGGATCTGAATCTTTGAATGTGAATATTCAAAATTTGAAGAATTCGGGAAGCTAGAGTGTTGCATCATTTCGTGCATCGCGTTCCGAAGATTTTACGTCCAAGAACTCGTCCTAGTTCTTAGATCTTGAACTTGAGAACAATCCTTGGAGTACAAGGATGTGAGACTCTTCTATAACTCGACAGTTCGGGCGTTCAAGCAGGAAATGTCTCAAACGTCTGACGGCATCAAGATCCGAGGAGTTATTACATAATCGCTTTAAAAGTGATCGGTCGTAAAAAGTTCCGTCGACTGTCGTGAAGCAATTCCGTTCTCAGAACAAGGATCTCTTTGTCGTATTCAAGTTTGATTGACTCGTTCCTCAAGAAACAAGAAAAATTGAATGCAAAATGTACACCAAAAAAAAGAAATTCTGTTCATATTGAAATCAACTCACGGAAATGTGCGGAGTAATTTACTCCTTCGAAAGAGAGAGAGAGAGAGAGAGAGAATTGTGTCGCTTTCGCTATTTCGATGCTCGTTCTACTTTGTTAATCCCGTTGATTTCGATGAACAAAGCGTTACGCCGTAATCGAGATAACTGAAAGTTGATAGAATAATTGAGAACATGCTAATCGTCAGGTCTGTAAAAAAAGACTGATCGAGAGACTCCTTCTCTTTCGTTGTTTTCAGGATCAGCCTCTTCCTTCGATCGCTTTAACCGGAATTTATCCCATGTCTGAGTACAACGGCAAAGTTTCGAGTTTAAAGTTTAGAAAGATATTAAGGATAGAGACATACGTTCTTCGATCGCCAGGATTCAAAAATTAAGCGGAAATGGTGCGACGCGATGCCATCCGACGGCGCGCGACGGCCGTCGCTTCTCTACAGCGCGATCCTACGTGGTTCAACGGAGCCTCCTGAAAGCTGCAATAATTCCGATAACATATTACCTATCAATTTTTACTCTTAGGTAGTACGATTGTCCTTCCTCAACAACGTCCGGCGTCTGTTTGATATTGGCGTGGAATCCGCAGAGTTTCTTCGAATTTCGTGTGACGCGAGTAGTCCGTAAGCGGCCGTGTCATAAGCGAATNCCTTTTTTTTCCCCTTTCCCCCCCCCCCCCCCCCTCTCTCTTCCAGCCTTACGTGTGCGCGTATGTTTCTATGTACAGGGTGTGTCGCGAGTGAAAGAATGTTTTCTCGTGATCGCGATTTCTCCGATGAGCGACTGAGTGTGCGGCCGAATTTTTCCTCGGCGATCATGAGAGTACGGAAAAGAAGAAGAGTCTCTATCGATCGTGGCTGCTGCTTTCGCACGCAACGTCACCGCGCTCGATTCAGTTTCGCAAATCGCAAATTAGCCGAGCTTTCGATATTGTAAATTCGTTCCGAAATTCATAGATCACAATGTTGCGCGAGTAACGAGCAGCGTGGCGGACGGGCGATAGTGTTGCTTGGTTAGTAAAATTCGCTTCGATCTGAGGTGTCGACTTGGTCGTAGTCGCAGCGAACGCATGCGTCGAGGAGACCGAAGAACATTTCGGGTCACCCAGTATACGCTAAAGAGACCTCGTCGTAGTGGTGACTCATGGTCTCGCATAATAAACGCCACCTTCATGATATAGTCATTGCTGATTTCTCTGTGCGAACACAGAAGCTACCAAATCCGCATTCGCGGCGCCGATGCGAGGGCGAGTTGACCCGCGAAAATTCCGCGAGACGAGACGAGTTCTCTCCGCAAACAAGCACACGAGGTCGTCCTGTGAGATTCCACACTTTTTAATAATAATAATAATAATCTTGATTTATAGGAAAAAAATGTAAGGTACAAGTACCAATGCCCGAACACGTACATAAATCTGAATATTCTTATTTTTCTGCTCTTTAAATATGAATATCTAAACTTTCAATATAGAATATGTATATATGTTAAATATATGTATATAGGGTGTCCCATACCAGCAGGGACAAACTTCATAAGAAGTAGACGAACAAAAAATTCTTTATTATTTGCAAACATGTAAAATTTCGAGTTATTATTGATTAAAAATGGCCATATACAGAGGCTTCTTTAATTAATAATTTAAAGTGTGTTATTTACAAAATATAAGAATTTTTATTTATAAAGGCCTAGTTTACAAGTATATGGTAACTATTGTACCTAATAATAGGCTTAAAGTTCATTATATCAATATCTGTCGCTATATTGGTAGAAAATTAACCAGAAAGTTAGGTTAACTGAACGAAAGATTAGGTTAATTGGAAGAAAGGTTAATTAAATTAACCGGAAAGTGGACAACCAAATGCATTTTGTGGTTGAGGGAAACAAATGGTACTTTCCATTTGGTGACAAGACACAACCATCATTTTGTCTTTTTTCCGCATTCAATGAATAACAAAGATAGAATGATGCTTGTGTTGACTTGTATCACTAAATGGAAAGCGCCAAGAATTTCTGGTCCTAAGAATCATTATTATTGTGGTTTTTATAATCAAAAATTCTATTTCTTTGGACCAAAACGCGTTTAGTTGTCTATTTTCTGGCTCAACTTATAATTCAACTATAATTTTCTACCAGTGTACGCACAATAGCTGTTATATATTTGTAGATTAGGTCACTCTGAACAAAAAAGTCTTGTGCTATTTTGCAAATAACACGCAAACTTTTATTATTAATTAAAGAAGACTCTACACATGAATATTTTCAATAATTAATAACTCGAAATTTTGCGCGTTGTTTGTAAAATAGTAGAAAATTTAATAGAATAATAGAGTTTTTTTGTTTATTTCAACTCGTTCTACACCCTCGCGAAGTTTGCCCATGTTGACCTAGGATACTCTGTATATTGTATGCTTAAATATTCGTATTTAATGACCAAAACAACAAGAATGTCCAGGTTTAAGAACATATGCAGGTATTAGTTTTACCTTAGTGCAGATGAATTATATAGGATATCCTGAAATTAGACCAACAAACTTCGGATGTTCATAAAGGTCATCAAGACAAGCAATTTTTATCAATAAATCCATGTTCACAAATGAGTTGTTTTGGTGCTACAATGAATTATTTAGAACAATTGTTCAAAGTATTGGTCATTTACTTAATACAGAGATATCAGTAATTTTTTTCTTGGTCTTGGTATTTATGTTATTGTGCTATCTTTTGATAAAAAACCAATTCGTCAAAAGAAAAAATTTCAATTTTTAAAACGAATTTCGGATAAACAATAAATAAATGTTGTGACACTGAGTTTGCAAATCATTAACAAACAATATTAATTCTATCTGTTCGACAATTTCCAACAATCTTCAGTTTGATAAAGCAATTTTTATTAATATTTTGATATGATTTTTATTAATGATTTGAGAGATAGCTATGTGAACCAGAGCCAGGAGAGAATTGCTAATATCTCTGTATTGAAATAAACGCCAACACTGTAAACAATTACTGTAAATAATTCACTTTAGTGTTAAAACGGCTCATTTGCGGACGTAGATGTTTTGATGAAAATTGTTTGTTTCGGTGTCCTTTATAATCATCCGAATTTTGTCAGTCTGATTTCGTAACACTTTGTAGAAAGATAAATAATACACAGATATAAATAATCATAATTGCGAGAATAGGTAACATATGATTAACAGAGAATATACAATAGATACATTTTTAATCACTCCTATTCGGAACTACGAAACGATGAGCTCATTTCGGCGACGGTACCATGCGAATTGTCTAATTTGTTCGATGCCGAACATTCTAGCGTCGGAGATCGCTGGTGATTTCGATCTCTTCGAGTTCACGGCTTCGAATTCCAAGCGAAATCGTCTCCCTTTCGGTTTTTTCGAGCCGCCTCCTCTCTCCTAGAACGGATGCCTCCTTTTGGATATGGCTATTCAGCTGGTTTTATTCGGCTCGATTTTTTCGCTCGCTAGAAACTGAACGTCAATTTTATCCATGCACGAATGATAAAGTCTCTTTTTCTTGGAAGCTCGACGCGTGGCAACCGGGGGTTAGCCTCCGTCCAGTTCAGAACCTGGCTCTTCGCTGTGGCCGAACAGCTGTTGCCCGTTTTCTTACCCCGCACCCTGAGTTTTCTTGTCCGAGCCGGCCGGCCACTGGTTCGTGTCGCAATTGCACAACCACGACAGGGCTGTAGATAACCGCGAGAGAAGACGAGAAGTGGACGTTTTCCCTTGTCTTTTGGTTGGTACTCGAACGAGCGAGCGAGCGAGTGCCGAGTGAACGATATCGCTCAGAACGAACTCATTACCGCATGCCTTATTCATCGATCATTCCTCTATGTGGTATCGGCGTGTAATGGTAATATGTAATGGTAATAATCAGTTGACGATGAGGGGGGCAGGCCGTTTCGGATCCGGTCGTTGATGAAGAATTCAAGGGATACTATCGCTCGGCAGGAGCGCACGATAGCGTCCTCTCCATTCGCGTCGTTTAATTATTTCTTCACTTGAGCTGCGTTCTTCACCGTACTCACGGTGGATGGATGCAATATTTGTGAAATTTTATCGAGTTAGATGAAAGATAAGCAATATAGACAGGCGAGCTATCTGCGTACGGCCCTGAAGGCTGGTCGGGGCCACCGACCAACCAGGCCTGGCCTGGCTTGTGTCACGTTGTGTACGACGGTATGGTGCGGTAGAGGTTCCCATATCTTTCCTGCGCGAGCCCTATCGTTTCAACGTTCTCCTCTTTCCGTGCGAAAAAAGTCGTTGGCATCGACATCCATTAAGTTCGAGAGAGAAAGAGAGAGACAAAGAGAAAAGACTTTGCAAGAGGCATCCTGTACGGGAAAAAACTACAAGAATATGAAATAAATTCTGATATATTATTAAAAAACAATAAGAACAATAGTTTCCGAATAGTATACTAGTATTTTTTTCGTATTTTTGTAGTTTGTTTTGTACGGGATCGCTCGGTGGACTTTTGTACATCCAACTGAGTGGCAAAGTTACTTTCTCCCGGACAGAAATTTGTACAAAGAATTAACTTCTCTCTTCGTTTTCGCTTTCCACGAGGATCGATAGCAGCAGGAGCAACGTTCGCGAGAGTCCTTTTGAAAATTTCGATAATTCTGCGATGATACCTGTATCGGTCGTGAGGAGAAAGGAAGTATTATTTAAAAAAATGTGCCTCTCCCTATTCGTATTAATTTTACAAGCGGACGTTGCTTTATATAATTCTCATAATTCACATTTAATGATACTCCTCGTGAAATTTCTATTGAGATCGGTCCGAAATCGACGACTAAATTAACGAACAACAGCCCAAGGACATGAATTTATTAGGTGGTATTTATTGATCTTTCCGAGCGCAAACCAAAACACGTTCCAGCTGTGTCGCTCACGGATCCAAGGTTGAGAACCGCTAATGTAGTGGTTTCGTGTTCGTCAGGAACAAAGGGAATATCGTCGACGTCTCTGAGAACGCCACCATTTGCGGGTCGAAACTGTGTATGTGGACACAAAGCAGAGAAACAGCCACGTATACCGCGTTGCAGTCTGTTAACGGTCTACTTTATTAATTCAAGAAATGAGCCTGTGTTGTACTGTCATTTTTAACAAGAGACAATTGGAGCGCTACGCGATAAGATAGGAATTCACGAATTTACCGTCGAGGCGTTTACGAAATCGATGCTCGCGACTGAATCGTGAGAAAACCGGATTGTCTAGTCTAAACTCGGTTAGATCTTTTTAGATATTAGAAAACCGAATGAAATCCACAGATTTAAAAATTGAGACGAATCTTTCGTTGGGATGAAAGAAACACGAGATGGTGAGAATATACAGTATTGTATGGCATGATGAAGCACCATAAAGATAACAAATTCATGATAACAGTTCCGCTGAATATTTGTTGGAAACTTGTCCTGCCATAATCATTTTCATGTCGCGGCAAATTCGCTGCTTCCCAATTTTCCTTTTCCGTACATTATTCTTCTTCGTCGAGCTGACTCGGAATTTCGAGGGTCTGCCCGTATCGGGACCCAGAAAATATTAATGGATATACCGTCAGACTGTCGTTCATTGTACGCTCCTCTCGAATCAATACCATGACATGGCTGCGTTGTTGGTGCACGAGGAGCCGTCGAGGCATACCCGAAACCGTTGCTCAATACTCTTCTTGCCCAGCCATTCTCATTTCGCCTGCAGTTTTGATCGAAGGCATCGATGCAACGATGATCTAACCCACTTTCTGAGATGTGCCTGGGAAAAGTACCCTTCGCATTCGGAAAAATTCTGCTCTCTTGGAAAAGTTCAGCTTCAAAAAGTCGTAGGTACAAGGTTTTCGCAATGCATTTCGTTGACTAACATAGATATATCTTTTGCGTGAAGGAACAAAAGAATATTTATAATTTTTTCCTTTGTTTATAAATATAATCAGAGTTGCCACAGACTTGGAAAACCGGGAAAAGCCATGAAAATTAAATTGGTCGGGGTCAGGTGAAGATGTAGAAAAGAATTGGAACCTGGAATTTTTAACTTTGCTCATAGTATCTTTAAATGCTTTTATTTTAAGAAGTATTTATAATTTTTTTATCTAAAATAATTTAATCTAAATTTTATCTAAAATAAAAAAAAATATTTTTAATTTAAAATAATTATATCCAACATTTATAGTCAAATGCGTTCAAAACTCACGCATTTTCAAATCATTTCTTAGAGACAGATAGACACTAGATTTACGTGGCAGATAGAAAAATTTAAACGGTGAGACACAAGCAGTAAGAAAAGTTACCAATTACAGTCGATTATTCCTCAACTGTAAAGACAGTAATCGAATGTGATTGATCAATTTTACTCAGCGTTTTTATTCGCCTGTTGCTGTCATAATTGCTAATTCTTTCTTCCAATACTCGTTTATTTTTTGCTGGCCTGAATTTGCATTTAGGATTATATTATATTACTAAATTTCTAAGTTTGTGTTGCTTCTAATAACATAAGTTACCTTTCCTGCAATCCTTGCTTCTAAACATTAAAATTTAAGATTATATATTGATCATGGAAAATTCTCCATTGTCGTCTAGAAAATATGGAAACGTCAGAGAATTTCAAAATTCATTTTCTGTGACAATGCTGATAATAAATAACGCTAATAATAGGCATATTAACATTTATGTACTTTTTCGTACAAAAGAACTATAGATATATTTATTTTTTAAAATATTCTAAATATACACATGGTTTTATTGAATTTTTAAGAAACTCATGCTTAGATACGCTTCTCGCGAAGTAGCCTAGAAGTAGTTGAGAAGTACGACAGAAGGGAAGATATTCTAGTTTCTCAAACATAATTCAGACTCTCATCCCAAGCATTTTTCAGTCATAATTTAAATTCCGAAATTTATGAATAATTGTATGACGCACACGAATCATGTTGCAGAGGCCTTCCCTGTGGTGTTCAACCTCCGGAGCCGATTCCTGGGCCTGATGGCGACAAATTGGCGACGATCGCGGCGCGCTTTAGCTACTTCCAAGAGCGGAAGAGCACGTTGTCGCAGTCTACGGCTGCCGTTGTTACCAAGGTCGACCTTCGCAGGAGCATCAATCCGCCCGCCAGGTATAAAAATGCTAGGCCGACAGTGAGACTGAGGCCACGTCAGGTGCTCTGCAGCAAGTGTCGGTCGATCTGCAACGAGAATAGCGAGAACGTCGATGTCAGCAGGAAGCGGAAGCATGAAGAGGTGCCTCAGCAACCGCAACAGCAGGTATCACAAGTGTCGCTTAGAATAATGTACAGACTGTCCTTCCTTTCGTCTACGGATTCTTTGAAAAATTTTAAGAGAGAGAGCGAGAGAAAGAGAGAGAGAGAGAGAGAGAGAGAGAAAGAGTGTGTGTATGTGTCTGCGTGTCCTGCCGTAATGGTCCTGACACTTAAAAGGCTCGCTTAAAAAAAAAAGATTCTCCGCCGAGTCGAGGACTTAGAAAGCTAAAATTCTCATGCTAGATCTCGGCTTAAAAGTCACCCCGTATAAAGTACCGTACGAGATCGTGCGGCACAGCCGAAGAATAATGATTTCTTTTGCAATTCGACCAGTTGGTCGCGAGTACCACGAGAAGAAGCGACCGACGTTGCGGTCAGCAATTGCAGAAGGGCCAACGGACTCTGCTTTCCGAATGCCAGACGGAAAACTCGACCTCCAATCAAACGACGAAGACAACGGCCTCGAGCCCCGACTCGTCGAAGATGGGGGCTTCCTTGATACCGAAATTAGCCAGATTACAGCCTAACGAGATCAGTAACGCCATACAGGGCTCTGGTCAATTCTCCGGTACTATATTATTCATATCTTATTACGCTTTTAACGAGGAAGCTGCTGTCAGTTTGTGGCGATTCAAGTCGCCAGAACATATCGCATTACTGTCTTCTCTTTGGCAAATGTCTAATTTCTCACGAAATAAAACATAATGATCGAGAGAGAACTTCTTTTTAAACTAACGAGTCTATCTAAGCAGGACAAATTTCACCGTGGCTTCTTGTGTTATATCGTCCTAAGTCCTTCGAAGTCGAAGACGATTCTTAATTTTCTGGGCCCGAGCTTACATCGAAGACTGGACGATTGTTACAGACAAAGTGAAAGTTGCGGCGAGCGCGCAGCTGTCGCACTGGCCCGTTAGAGGTGAGGAGGAGACGTCCCTGAGAAATGTGCTGAGACCTGCGGAAGAAAGAATGGAGTCCACCGACTGCGACAGCAATCCCTCGATGGCTTACTGTGCCACGCCTAGGAGACTCAGCAGCTCATCGGTGGAAAGTGCGAAGGTACCCGAAGAAGAAGACAAGAAAACCTTCGCGGCCGCGGACTCAACGATGAGACTGAGAACCGGTAGAATACCGAGAAAGAAACGTTCGGTAGGCTCGATGGAGGATCTCTGGGACGAGTCCGTTTTCGAGGATCCTACGAGAACTGCTCGGACCACACCGGTGATCAAAATCTCATTCGGCGCGCAAGGCGAAGGTACGGTTTTGAAAATACCCGCCAAACTTCAGGACCCTGAGTACGAACAGGAGACTGATGATCCCGACGACATCCAGCAAGAGAGGGATCCTCTGGAACTGCCCAGATCCTTCGACAACGACTACGAGTATCATGAGGAAGGTGAAGAAGACGGGCAAGAACAGATGGACCCTCAGAAGCAGGGTGTGAAGGATGCCAGCGCAAAGGCGGCCAAACGGGCTTTGAAGAAAGCCAAGAAAGAAGCTAGGAGGAAGATGTTGGGTGGAGTGTCGCCAGCGAGATCTCCTTGCAACGGATCACCGAGGTAATTATAATCACTGTTTTACATAGATATAAAAATATCTTATTTTATTGTTGACGATCGTTGAAGGGCGTAGCCAGGATTTCAATCAGGAGGGGGGAGGAGCAAAAATTTATCTTCAGACAATTTTTATTATTATTTATTTAGAAAGAGTTTTACTACATAACTGAAATACGTTAAAATTGTTGCAGACAATGTAAGTAGTAACGTCTGGCAGTGAAACTAAGAAATTTTCGTTGCCTTCATCTTCATAAAGCATTGCTAATACTTTATCGTTGGCTTTTAATTACAGAACATGTGTTGTAGTTTTTTTCTTATCTTGGAATGCCGATTGTTATATTATTGTAATGTCAGTTAAATTTCTTTACTTTTATGATTTTCATCATTGTTCCTCTTTGCCAAAAGCACCCTCCCTTCTCTCTGCATCACCCTGGCTACGCCCATGGTTGTAGTGACGTTCGCATTTTCAACAATTTTTCATTAATTTCATTCTGATTTATTCAGGTACAATCCCACTTACGATCCGCTCTCGTACCATCGTCGGAAGCACAAGGTAAAACACAAAAAGAAGCACAAGGAGGGCCGGAAGCACAAAAGCCAGCAGCAAGAGCAACAGCCGCAGCAGCAACAGCCTGAATCCTGCTTGGACCCTTCGGAACAGCACCAGCAGAACTGGAATGTTCTACCTGGTGGTGAGTCCTATCGAGCCATCAAGGAGCAGTGCCTGAAGCAGAAGCTGTCGATATCGCTCAAGAGGCTCAATACGAACGCGTATGCGCGCTGCGACTACCCCGTCAGCAACGCGTCCTCCGGTTGCAAGAGCTCCGGCGGTAGCAGCGACGAGCTGAGCGAGCACGAGCCGGAAGTGGAGACGGCGCCTGACTTCCCGCCGCAATCTCATCCTTTGGTGATGCGACTGGCCGCCACCCCTGTCGCTCACTGTCTCACGGCCAACGGCAGGAGAATGGACGTAGGCGACGTTGTGTGGGGCAAGATCCACGGTTTCCCGTGGTGGCCTGGCAAGGTACGTGCGAGGTGTTTTGAAACGGTGCATTCTTCAGTGAGTAATTAAGGTTCCTGTTTCCTCGCAGCAGCCATTTTGATTAATGACGTCAGAAGCGAGAGAACTTATGCCCGAAATTCTTGCGGAATACGTTGAAGTAAAAGGATATGCCCGTAAAAGGAGTGATTTACGACTTTTTTTTATATAACGCTAGAAACAGTTTTAATTTACAGGAAAACATAATAGACCTAAGTAAAGATCACAATAGTTCAAAAATTACTTTGAACCAGACAAGGTACTTTTTACAGATTTTTGGATGCTGAAAACGATACCACAAACCAAATTTTATCAGCACATCAGATTTCCAAAATAATTGCGATTTTGTGTGCAAAAATGGCTTTTTTGCAAAATTTGTTGTAAAAAAGTTGTAAATTTTGCTGTAAAAAAGGTTAATGTTATTTTGACATTCTGATCAGAAGTCATGAATGTATTATTCATCCCCCATAAAATATATTTTTTTATTTGAATATCTTATTTTTTAGACATGTTATGGAGTATTTAAATACAGTTTCACTAAGATAGCAAATGTTTTGCATATGATGAAGTCATATATATTTATAATGTGTACTTTGTGATTGATATATATACACACAATATAATTTATCGTGATAGATTTCGCTAAATGTGCACGCACGCACGCACGCGCACAAAAGAGTATCTAGTTGGTGCTTTAATATACGTTTATATGCAAGTAGAATAAGTTAAATTGAACAGAAAAGTCATGTACTATTATGCAAAATTCGCAATAGTTAATAAGAAATTAATTACTTTATATGAGTCAATGTATGCACGGAAAGCAGTAGATCGGATTTCGAAACCATGTACAAAAAAAAATAACTTCTAGTTTTAATGCCGTATGTGCACATCGTCTTGCTTTTTGCTGAAATTAGATCAAAATGATCATATATCCGTTTGGCAAGGTAATATTTTAATTAATATTTAAGTTTTTTTTTCCGGTTTTTGTCATACACAGTTTCATCTAACGATAAAATTGTTTCATTGTTGTAAAGGCAATGGACATTGTTATTTCGGAACCATTAACTTTGATGCAACGAGCATCTATGATTATGACATTGAGTTTCATTGTAAAAAGCATTTTAATTTTCCGGCAGCACATTCTTCTGATATGATTTTTTATTTAATTTGTAATATATTTTATACATAATTTGTAATATTCGCTGAAGAGGGTCCAAATAATTGGTATTGAAACGTTCGAAAATTCATGTGATATTTATATTATCATCATTTATTTGTATCATTAAATTATTCGATCATTTATTTGTATTATTAAATTATTCGTTGAAAATATGTGCAGTATGACTCTTATTTTTCTGTTGAAAATTTCCAGGTGTTGAAAATTTCCAGGTGGACTTCTACGGAAATCCAACAAAACTCATATGAATCCATATAGGATATTAAAAATCTACATAAGAATGAACATGGTGTGTGAAAATTGATATAGGAATCTACATGGATTGTTATGTAGGACCTGGATTTTTGGTGCAAAGGGCAACTATAGAATTCTATATGGATTCCCACCTGGTTTTTTTTTTTCAACAAGATTGCTTTTCTTGTTATTTGACTGTATATCTCGAGAGTCTTTATACTGAAACTTGCGATCGATTGAGCACATTTGTAAGATATTCTGAAAACTTTTTTTTATTTTAATAATCGATAAATAACATGACGAAATAATATTAACATGAAATCAAAAAAGATATGTTAAAACGGAAAGTTGTATGTGATGTTAATTTTATAGTTATTTATCGATTATTAGGGCAAAAGGAATATTTTCCAAATGTGCTCAATTGATTATAATACTAAATGTCATGATATGGACATATCTTTTTATTCTAACGTATATCGTAAGAATTTTGGCCATATGTTTTTTCAATTTTGATGTTATTGAATAAGGTGGCTGCAGCGAGGAGCCAAGACTTTTAACACCACGCTACATGTGTAACGCAAAGATTTCTTAAGAAATCAGTATTACATGCATGTGACAGCAAACATTTTTTTTTATGTTCGCATTATAAAATTAAGTTTGTTCTACACAATTAAAAAAGTAAAAATGTAAAAAAAATAAAAAGAAAGTAAAGTAAAGAAGAAAATACGAAGTGGTTTGTAGAGGGTCTCGCAAATAAACTCTGGTAGCAAACGTGTTAAGCTTTGACCAGCAACTGTCCTCTTTCTTTAATTGAGACATTCATAACGTCAACGAGGGACGATAATCTGCCAAAATAATATATTTTGTTTAATGTTACGTTATGTGCAGGTTCTAAGTATCACAGTATCATGTAAGGAAGATGGCACTTCGTCCGGTCCTCAAGCTCATGTGGCTTGGTACGGATCGTCCACAAGCTCGCTAATGTCCTGCGACCAGCTAAGTCCTTTCCTCGAAACATTCAAGGTACGTTGATCGAAATAATAACAAGTAAGAGAGGATTCAAGGGTACAGTCACATGCCCGAATTTTTTCAGACAAAAGTTTCGAATCCAACTTTGATATCAAATAAAACTTATGACGAATAGATTATGAATATGAAAATTCCTAGATGAAGGGAGCTACCGTTCCAGAGAAAATAGTTTTCGAACTGTCTCAAACAAGTGCCTTAATATATAGGCAAACTGAGATCATTATTGAATACGCTCAACTCAAATGCGTATTAATGATACTGTTAACAATGAACGACTGTCGAATTGTTGATAATTTATGCATTTGTTTTGCTCCTTTTTATTTGTTGAAATATGTGGCACCACCAATGAAGGCGGGATTTTAAATAAACCATTTTCTCTAGGACGGTTGCTTCGTCCACCTCGGAACTTTCCATATTCGAAATCTACGTGTCACGAGCTTTATTTTAAATCAAAATTGGATTCAAAACTTTTGTTCAAAAAAATTTCGACGGGATTTGGTATTCTTCGCAATTTACTCCGGTAGTTTCGTATTATAGTCAATGTCGGTCAATTTTGGTTCCATACTGTCAACGTTGTTGGCTGAATTTGTAATCTTGCATGTAGCAATCGTGAATTTATCTTTCAGACGCGGTACAACAAGAAAAAACGCGGCCCGTACAAAGAGGCGATACGGCAGGCCCAGAACGAGGCCCGTAGTCAGATTACGCCTAACTCGACCAACAGCGTGTTGAACGTTTGCGGTTCGCCCCGTGAGGTCAACGTCCTTTCCTAAGGGAAGTTCTCCGACAACCATTCCTTACTGCCGAGCATCCGTCGGCGTGATAATTAAAGCGCTCGTGGCAAGAGAGTGCTGACCGATTGTCCACGATATTCCCAGCTGTGTCGAGTTAACCCCGATTTCGATTTAATTTTTCCAATCGCTTACCCGTTTTCGTTAAGTCTATTTTTGGATCTTTCTCCGCCAGATCTTTGGATTTATTGGCTCGTAAACGCCGCAAGCTGAAGGATATATTCTTTCTTTTTGAAATCGGGGTTCGGATGCGGCCTCCTCCTTCATGACGCACGAGACTTGGTTAGCTTAGATGTTGAGACCCAAATTCAGCTGTTAAATTTATTGTTGTGATCTGAAAATCTCGCGGATCTTCGCAGATCGCTTGATCTTTTGAGACTTGAATTATTTGAGGCTGTGGAGATGTGAATTTGAATTATTTGTATGTATGTACTGAAGTGAAGTGTGTATCTGAACATGAGTACAATAACGTGTACACTCTTTTTTATCACGAGACTCATTGCTGCTAATCGCAACAAGGACTGAATTTATGAGAAGATAATTCTTTCGTTGCGTCGAGCGAGTGTGGGTCAACGCTGACTTTCTGCGAGCGCTTGAATTATGACGGATCGGAATTGTCATGTAACATATGAAATTTTGTACATACCCCTTAGCGCTAATGAAATAGTTACTGATCGATGTTTCTGTCAGCCATTTTTCTCGTGATTAGTCGCTTAGAGCCAGTCGCCCCGATTACCCGATTCAGTTTCAAGTCCGTCGTTGAACGAATAGCGGAATTCGGAGCTTTCGACGTTTTGGCATTTTATCGTTCTCGTATCTTGGATCCACTAGATCCGCGGATTCGCAAAGTATTGAACATTTTCAGTCACAATGTTGAAATAAAAAAAAAGAGGCTTTTAACTACAGTGTTTCTTACATTACAAGCTCTGTCGGATTATCTTGCGTAGAACTTTTAGAACAACGGATTTCAGTGCGACACAGAGCGTTCAGAATCGTCAGAATCTTCGGAACGCCGCGATCGACTGACTCTTGGCGAATCGCGAACGTTTACTGCCATCATCACTGGCTTCTCTGTCCTCGGCTTACCAAGCGGACGGTAGCGTGTAAAAGTCTACTCTAGATATTTCTAGACTAATCGTAAGTACTCACGGCGAAGTTAACTGATCGGTTCGTTTCTTCGTTGATTAATCTCTCAAATGTCTCGGGCGACGCGAGTCTCGCGATTATCGAGGATTGACACAATTATCGTTAATTGTTACACCCGGTAGAATGGACAAACAAATTAATTATTCGAAACAGTGCGACTCTATATCTCAGAAACACAGACTGTAACTTATGTTTTTTGTCCAACTGTAGTCGTCACTTCGTTACAAACGTATGGTACGTGCGTTACCATATATACGGTGTATACCTTTCAGCTTCGATATGTGTTCTTTTACATATATGTATATATAACATTTTTTTCTGTAGTGGTGTTTTAAGTTCTTCCCAGAAAAAGCATCGATTTGAGGGATTAAGTGTAAATTGTTGTCAGTAGTTATTGACATTCTTTCTGTCAGCCGCCATAGTGATTCGTGTCGCAGATTTAGCTGGACAAAATGCTGGGTGTGCTTAGGATCGTATTTAAATGTAAACTTTCATTCTTCTCCGACAAAGACAGCCAATGTTTACGCTTTGTGCCAACACTGCCGTGTAATTAAACGATCAATTGTTTGATCTTCGAGCAACGATAATTGTAAAGCGACTTTCGGGCTCGCGATTGAGTGTGAAAATAGCTTGGATAAATTTCGTCTCTTGAAGCAGCACTAATTAACTTACAAAAATGCAAAGTTTTCTAAATGAAAAAAGAAAACAGAGAAATAGGTATATGAATTAACAGAGGATTTTCAACTTTTAACTTTCCGACAAGAAAAATTCGCGAGAACTTAAATCTCGTAAATTATTTAATAGTTTTTACATCCCTAATATTGAACGAGAGCGAAGACCCGAATCGTGTTCGTGAATTATTAATACATTAGAAACTCGCCACTAAAACTTCGTCGTTTTAAAGTGAAGTAGCAAAATCGCTCTTTCGCCGAACATTCTGAATTACTGCACAAAAATTCTCAAAAATTCCCGGAATCCGTCGAGCATCGCAAATCATTTCCGAGAGAGAGAGAGAGAGAGAGAGAGAGAGGAAAATCGATAATTTATGGGCAGCTACCTTAATCTCACGAGTGGCAAAAATGTTGTAAAGCCGCGAACGGCACTTAAGAGCTTTTGAATTACTATCGTCATCGCCGCGCTGCTCCTTCCTCGATACCGCTCTCTCCCACGAAGATATTTTCGTGCTCGAAATTGAAATTATTGAATTTTATGCCGCGATGCGAACAAAACTAAGATATTGATATATTGTTCGGATATATCCCTGAGAAAAGCTTGATTTTATAGAATTACGCTCTTTGGAGCTTCGGAAACTGGATCGTCGGGAATGATCGAAATCTTGAAAAATTCTCTGATTATCAAGTATAAGACTTCGTCATTTTGTCCTCGTCTGATCATTGTTATTAAACCGCTAAGAGTTCCTCTGAATTCTTGTCGAGTTCGTAGCGAGTTGCTAGAACATTGAGTATCCGTTGATTTTAGCCAACTAGATAGAAAAGCGATTGATTGCAAGATGAATTATCTTGTGAAGAGAAACGAACGTGTGAGCAGTTTCACGCGAAATCGGTAACGCGATATTCTATTCTTTCGATTAATTATAAATTTCGTAGTTAGGTACACGGGGTGATCATGCGGACCTGATAATGTGGACTAAAGACGAAAACTGAACCAGTGCGAGAAGGATGTGTGAGTGAAAGAAAGAGCATGAGAGTGAGAAAAAGATAGCGAAGATGTTTTAAGTAANATATATATATATATATGTATATATTACACGATATACATATGTTATACATATGAATATGAATTAATTTCTACACATAATATGAACGATGTTTCGATGTCGCTGTGTTTATACGGACTAGGCTAACATATCGTTAACGAAATTATTATTACTTATTATTATTATTAACGATTATTATTATGATCATGATTATTCTTTATCGTTGCGGAGCTCGAGTGTTGCTGATTGCTTGCTGTAAGTACACGAGGATGGATTGTATCGTCGATTATTAGCGCATTTTTACCCACCACATTACGCCACAACACGCCAATTATCACGGAAGCAAAAAAAAGAACTAACGTGCATTTCTTTCTTTTGTCTCAAGACTTGTTTAGGAAGCTTTGTTATCCGTACTTACGTGTCGTCATCATGATTGCGCTGACCGTTTTTGTTATTTAACTTTTTCTTCATAGTTTTATGTTAAAATATTTGTGGGCGATAAAGGGAGCGTTCGCGCACGTCGTTGCTTCGTCGTAAATCATATTATCTCCAGACGTGATTTTTCATATTTAGGGATATATTATTTATTTCATTTAGGAGTGGCGCGCGCGCTCACACACACACACACACACACACACACACACACACACACACACACACACACACANCACACACACACACACACACACACACACACACACACACACACAATTTATTTTATATTATCAATGAGTATACATTTATTTTTTTGTTACAGTAACGTCAGTACGAATCGTTCGGATTCTCCATTTTTTGATTTTCGTAACGTGGACATACCGATAATGCATCGTCTGAGACGTCTTTTTCGGATAAAACGTTAACTTAATAATGTGAAAAAAAAACAAGTACAAACGAACACAATCGTAGCCTGGAGAAGTAAAATTTACAGCGAATCGATTTTGCAAGATGCGCGAATGCTACTTTAACGCGCTGTAATTAGCGCCATTGATTTAGGGATCGCGATTGAACGTTTACTTTACGAGATATTAATGTCGCGATTTGGCGAAATTACCAGGTAAACAGATGGTTTGAATAAATCGGCATATCTACCTCACGCTCACTTGTTTAATCCGCTCTCGGTTGTACAAAGCCATAAGACTCCTTCGAAGAGACCCGATTTATTTACAAGCAATCTCAAAGCATGCCGATCCGATCCTGGTAAATCCTTTTTCACTAGTATCAATGTCGCTTATCCACAGCAAACATAATTAACACGTTAATTGCTACGCGCATTTCGGAGGAAATCTCCGTCAGGCCACGCGCGCTGCTTAGAAGCGTGCTGGTATTGTGGTATAGCAATGCCAAGCGCAATAAAGCTTCAATAAAATCCATTAAAATTTTTTGATAAGAAATATTTAAATACATTAATGATATGATCCTGAAATTACTTAAAATTTATTAAAACTATGTAATTTTTTTAGTTTTATATCGTATTTTATACTGTCAGTCACCGGCGACTGACGCGGCTCGAACGAAAAGTTCAGTGTCAGTCACTGGTGACTGACGTGGCAGTTAACGTGTTAACCTGTTAACCGAGCGGGACGTATAAATACGTCCGTGTTGCGTAGTTAAAAAAGGAATTCCCCGGTTAACAGGTTAAGGAACCGCGTTGACACCTTGATTAGCCAGCAGAAGTGGCCGGTGACCGACACTAACATTGCTGTTCAGATTCACGATGAATTCTTCAAATGTTCCCTGGATGGAAATATTATGTTGAAAATTTTACCAAAATTCTCTCTCAATTAACCCCATTTCATCACCATTCTGTCAATGTACACAGTTCTCAGTTTTAAATTCAGCAAATTTTAGCAGTATACTTTAATTTCTTTTATATTCCAGTGGTGTACTATGAACTTGATGGAAGTTTCTGAAAAATTACTGAAATATATAATAATAAATATTTCAAAATAAATCATAATTTTCACCATGAAATTCAATGTAACGTTGTGAAATGTAATGTAAATTAAAATATAATTTTGAAAAGTAATAAAAAATTTTTGAAATATTAGATATCATGAAATTTACCTTGTTAAATCGAAAACTTCGTATATTAATGAAATGGGGTCAATTGAAAGAGTATTTCGGCAAAATATTTTCATCAGGGTTCTTAAGGCTCCTGTGTTCTCACTTTTGCTATTTTTGTTTGATGACAGCGAAATTCAGAAGCGAGAAATTGCATACTAAAATATACTATAGTATACATAGAAATAAAAGAATATGTACATAAAATAGCACTCGTGATAGATTCAGCACATTTATAAAAATGTCCGGATAATAAATGGTCGTAAAATTAATGTAACAGAAATCATGAGAAAAGATAAAAACGTAAGTTGCATGCATTACACTAATTTACGGCTATTTAATCGTTTTGGTTAAAGGAAAGCATCCGGACATTTTTACAAGTGTGCTGAATCGATCACAAGTGTTATTTTGTGTGTATATTCTTTTATTTCCACATATACCACCACATAAATTGGCATGATTTTCCTCGCTTCATTAAAGAAGGACATCCAAAGTGAATATCCAGGAAAGTGTTCGGACATTTTTACAAGTATGATGAATCACGAGTGCTATTTTATGTACATATTTTTTTATTTCCACGCAATAATATACCACAATATATTTTGACATACGATTTCTCATTTCTGACGTTATCAAACAAGGACAGTCAAAGTGGATATAGGAGCCTTTAAGTTTTCTCCTTTCCTAAATTGTAATTCTTTAGAAATTCATAGAATACTATAAAAATGGTCCAAGAAGTTATATGCATCATAATTGGAATTCCTGAAAATTTCTTGGAATATTCATATAGAATTATTTCATATCAACAGATGCACATTTTATGAATTCAAGAGGAGTAGTGTTTGTGAATAGAAGTTTGTGAATAGAAAGAGGGATAAAAAATAAACACCAATTCTAAAAATAAGTTATATAAATATTATAAAATTTCCTATATATATATATATATAGAGGTATAGAGGTTACATACCAGAGACTTGAAAAAACTACTCCGCTTTCTAGTAAGATATAACATGGCATCAATTGGAGAGATACCAAAACGGTTAGTCATGCTTTAACCATATAATACGAAATACTTTGGTACATGTACCAAACAATCGCAAAAAATCGTTTAATATTGTTGTAACGTTATTATGTTAGTTGGTGTTTGGTAATAATTGATTTTCGTAGTGGATAACAGTTACCTTCCAACTGAACTGAACTGAAATAATTAAAAAAACATTCAGTTTTTAACCACTTAAAAGAAGGAAGAAATCCAAAATTGCACAAGAATTGTAGAATAAAGAAATAATTATATTATACGCGGTCAAAGTTTATAAAATCAGTTCAAGTTTATAAAGTAGCAATTTATCGAATGAGCTCAGTTCTCACGATTCAATGAAACGTGAAGAAAGTTTCAATTGCTATGATAATGCACACACAAAGCACTGGAAGTAACACAAGCATGTACTGAATGCAGCTACAGGAAATAATTGTAACAAACAAAACAATTCCTCACGAATTCCTTGATAGTTCGAACTATTAAGTCACGAAGTATTCATTATAATGAACTTATGAAGAATACTTCAAGACGAATTTGATTGTGGTTAATTAAAAAAAAAATTCTCGAGATATTCATTTTTTATAATTCTGTAAGTATTCATTAAAATTAATTCTCTATAAATTTCTATTCGCCGCGGTTCTATCTGGGTAATTAATTAATTAATTAAAAAGGCATTTAATTTGGCTTCTAAGTTAATGCCGCGGCTTTTATTAAATTTGTTGTTGT